ACATAAACAAATTAAAAAATAAGAATCATATGATCATATCAATAGATGCAGAAAAAGCCTTTGACAAGATACAACGTCCATTTATGATCAAAACACTTAACAAAATCGCTATAGAAGGAAAGTATCTTAACATAATAAAAGTCATATATGACAAACCCTCAGCCAACATTATACTTCATGGTGAAAAACTAAAAACCTTCTCTCTAAGATCAGGAACAAGACAAGGCTGTCCACTGTTGCCACTGTTATTCAATATAACATTGGAGGTCCTGGCGAGTGTAATCAGGCAAGAGAAAGGTATAAAAGGCATCCAAATGGGAAACGAAGAAGTCAAACTGTCACTATATGCAGATAACATGATTCTCTATACATAAAACCCTAAAGACACCACTAGAACACTACTAGAAACAATAACCAAATGCAGTAAAGTTTCTGGATATAAAATCAGTGTTCAAAAATCCATAGTGTTCCTGTACTTAATAATGACGTGTCAGAAAAAGAAGTGGAAAAAATAATTCCTTTGGCAATTGCAAGAAAAAGAATAAAATACTTAGCAATAAATCTAACATAACATTTGAAGGATCTATATAATGAAAACACAAGACCCTATTAAAAATCGAAGAAGATACAAAGAATTGAAAAGATAGTCCGTGTTCTTGGATTGGAAGAATCGATATAGTTAAAATAACCTTATTACCTAAAACATTATACAGATTTAATGCAATCTCCATCAAAATCCCATCGGCATTTTTTAAAGAAATAGAACAAAAAATCATCAGATTTGTATGGAAGCACAAAAGATCTCAAATTGCCAAAAGGCATCCTGACAGAAAAGAATGAGGTTGGAGGTATCACTCTGACCAACTTCAAATTACACTACAAAGCAACAGTAATCAAAATGGCATGGTATTGGCAGAAAAACAGACACAGGGACCAGCGGAACAGAATTGAAAGTCCAGGATTAAATCCATGTTTATATGGGCAAATAATTTCGACAAAAAAGCCAAAAATGTACAGTAGAGAAAGGAAAGCCTCTTCAATAAATAGTGCTGGGAAAACTGGAAAGCCACCTGAGAAAGAATGAAATTAGACTGTTGTCTATCACCACATACCAAAATTAACTCAAAATGGATTAAGAACCTGAAAATATGAACTTGAAACAATAAAATGCTTAGAAGAAAACATAGGAACTAAACTCAAGGACCTAAGACTTAAAGAGGGTTTTATGAATTTGATCTCAGAGGCAAGTAAAAGCTAAAATAAAAGAATGGGACTACATCAAACTAAAAAGCTTCTGCCCAGTGAAAGAAACCGTCAACAAGGTAAAGAGACAATCATGTAAATGGGAAAATATATTTGCAAGCAACACCTCCAATAAGGGCCTAATATCCAAAATATACAAAGAACTCATACGACTCAATAAGAACAAAAAAACAAACGATCCAATCAAAAAATGGGCAGAGGACCTGAACAGACACTTCTCCCTAGAGGACATACAAATGGCCAACACATGTATGAAAAGATGCTCAACATCGCTAGCTACTAGGGAAATGCAAATCAAAGCCACAATGATACCATCTCACACCTGTTAGAATAGCTGTAATCAATAGGACAAGTAATAACAAATGTTGGAGAGGATGTGGAGAAAAAGGAACCCTCAAACACTGCTGGTGGAACTGCACATTGGTATAGCCACTATGGAAAACAGTATGGAGGTTCCTCAAAAAACTAAGAATTGATCTACCATATGATCCAGCAATCCCTCTACTGGGTATTTATCCCAAAGACTTGACAACTCATATCCATAAAGATATTTGCACATCGATGTTCATGGAAGCATTATTCACAGTGGCCAGGACATGGAAGCAAGCGAAGTGTCCTACAATAGATAACTGGATAAAGAAGCTGTGGTACATATATACAATGGAATGTTACTCAGCCATAAGAAGAGATGAGATACTGCCATTTGCGACAACATGGATGGACTTCAAGATAATCATGCTAAGCAAAATAAGCCAGACAGAAACAGTTGAAAATCACATGGTATCACTTATCTTGGGATATAAACCTAAAAGCAATAAATGAACAGGACAAACAGAGACTCATGGACATGGACAATGGACTAGTGGTTACCAGAGGGTAGGGGTTGGGGGAGGAGAGGGAAGGTAGACAGGGTAAAGGGAATCAAATATAGGGGGTACGGGGTAGGGTGAAGTGGGTAAAGGGGATCAAATATATGGTAGCTGAAGGAGACTGGACTTTGGTAAACACACCATAGAATATACAGATTCCAAATTATAATGTACACCTGAAAATTATATAATTGCATTAACCAATGTGACCCCAATAAACTTAATAGTAAAAAAAAAAAGAACAAAGGAAAATATAAAAAAATTAAACAATCCCTTGTATGTGAAGATTTAAAGAAATTCTTATGTTTTGATAGTAAAAGAAATATATTTCATCAGTAGTAAACATCTGACTGCCTTGTGTGGGCAGGGCACTGAAGTGTCATGGATTTTTTCCAGTGATAAACTCAATACACAACTTATAACTTTCTTGGAAACAGAAATTATCACTTACCCTGGTACTGGGGTCTCTATCAGCTCGATCTAGTTCAAAAGAACTTATTTTCTGGGCACTCATTTCATCAGTGTCAGCAATGACGTAATGTCTGGGAGAGTAAGCATTGGACAAGTACTCAAGCAGCCTCAGGATCTCGGTGGTATGTCCACCTGAAAAAAAAATATTGGAAGGCCTTAGATTAAGAAATCTGTAATGGATGTATCCCATTCTAGCAGTCCCTAACCTTTTTGGCACCAGAGACGGGTGCTCCTATAAGAATCTAATGCCTGAGGTGGTGATGCTAGTGCTGAGAAGCGGCTGCAAATACAGATGAAACTTTGCTCACTCGCCTGCCACTCACCTACTGCTGTGTGGCCTGGTTCCTAACAGGCCACGGACCCGTAGTGGTTCATGGCCTCGGAGTTGGAGACCCCTGTCCTATCTGACTATCTTATACTGTTATGTTTTGTGTATTTCTCAAAAGACAGAAGGAACAGCTGGAAACAATAATGTATGCCCTTGTATAAATACTACTTTTATATGAGGAAGAGGCTAACAAATGTATACAAATAAAACCAGCACTAGCAGTAGGTACCGAGGAAGGTACAAAGAAATGTGAGACAGCTCCTGTTATCAAGAAGCCTAGTGGGAGAGGGGCAAGACACAAATAGACATATAAAGAGCAATGCAAGACAGTAAGAAAAATGTAAATGGAGGGTAGTGGAGGGAAACAAATGGTTATGAAAAATCAATGCCATAAGAATAGTGGAGATCCCTGATAACAGCTGAGATGACTTAAAGATGAAACTAATGGATAGACAGGACTAGGGAGGCCATTGGGCAGAGGTGGGATTATTTGGACAAGTGATGGCAAGATCTGAAATGCATGTTCAAGGGATGATGGGACTACTGGGAAGAAAGATGAGGGCAAAATAAGGTCAGGAAAATAGATTGAAGAGAAATGTCAGGGAGGCATGAGCACTGACCCACAGGGTTCAGGTCTTCCTAAGGAAGACTGCTGTTCACCACAGCTTTCGCAACCCCAGCTCCAAATGGAGGTCTCAGCACACGACAGGTCCTCAAATACTTATCTTCTTCACCAAACAACTGTATGCTTTTTGAAATGGTAAAATCTGCAAAATTTTCAGTTTAATTTCAAAACCATGAATTGAAAAAAATCAACTGTGTTCACTGAAGTTTCCTTCAAGGAACAAAAACCCAAAAGGACATCTACCTATCACATTAACTATATGCCACTGAAGCAAAACAATCACATTCCTTACCAACTAGCTCTATCATATCTATTTAGTTTCATTTCACAATCTCTCAGCTTCAGCCAGGTTGCTGTCCTTAACATTCTCTATATTCATCTTGTTACCTTTTCCTTGCCTCTAATCACTGTTCTCCCGACCTACAGAGCTCTTCCCGCTCTCCTTGCTTCTCTTATGTTTGTAAGAAAGAGCTTTCAATAGTGATAGAGTGAATAGAAGGATAATCAAACAAATGAAGTATGTGATTTCTCTCAACACATATATTTTCTTACAGTACAAAGGGAAGGATTACTCTCTAGATTGCAGAAGGAATTAGACAGAGGAATAAAATCAGCATAGAGTAAGTGTGAGTTTCAAGAATTAGAATCATACTTTTTAACTTGTCACCCGTGTTCTTATACAGGGCAAGGAATTTACACATCTGATTTATACTCATTTTAGTATTTTTGTTTTTAGCCTTGAAAAAGTGTGGTGGTTTGCAAAGTAGGTACTTGTTTTCACAGCTGGAACAATTAAGGATAAAACCTAATATTCACAACATTTTCCAGTGCAATTAAAAATTCATTAAACCTGCTTTAACAGTCTTTTTTTTTTTTTTAATGGAAACCATCACTGAACACATTCCTTGAAAATTTAAACTTGCTACTGAATTAAGTTATTAAAATGATGGGTTTTATCTTCCATTTTACTCTTTTATTAAGATTTATTCTTTTGGAACAAAATTTGTTCTATTTTTTAAATATCCAAAATCAAATCACTTCTCACCACCTCCTTTGCTACCACTCTGTTCCAAGGCGCATCACTTTCCACAGATTATGACCACAGCTTCCTGGTCTGTTCCCCACAGTCCACTTGTCTATTCAAGTGTCTACTTCAGTCTGGTTTCAACACAGCATCGAGTATGATCCTATTAAAAAGTGCTGATCAAATTACTGACCTTTGCTCAAAAACATCCAGTGGTTTCCCTTCTCACATGGAATAAAAGGCTTCTTATAATGTGACCCCTTAATCTGTTACCCTTGGACCTCACCTGCTTCTCTCCCCATTACTCGGTCAGCTCCAGCCCTCTGGCCTCCTTGCTGTTGGATATGTCATCTTCCCAGTGAGGCTTTCCCTGACAATTCTGTCTAAAACACAACTCCCTCTCCTCACGTCACAGTATGCAGTTTATTTCTTATCTCATTGTGGCAAATGTCCATTTGGTTTTTTGTTAGTTTTTCTAGTCTCCATTTCATTCACTGCTGTATACTTGCACCTGTCACACTGCTTGGGACAAAGTCAGCAGTCCATGGCAAATAAAATTAGTCAGCTTTGTTATTTCCAGAGAACAGTTTAGTGTCTGGCCTCTCCTATGGCTCAGAATATGTTAGGTGAATAAAGTAATAAATTATACTTGAACATAAGTTTAGAACATTTGTTCATACTATAATTATTCTATCTTGATGCAATCTCCTGGCATTTCTAAATTTACACAGCATATAATGTATACCTCTGTCAGAACTACCACTTAAAATTGTGAGAACCTGTATAGCTGGTGGACTCTGTTCAGATGGTATTACGTGATAGGACAGCTTGCTGTTCTTCCTCTGACACAATTTCCTCCCTCAAGTGTGGGCTGTCCTACACTTAGGAGATAATTTTTATCCTCGTGGATTATATATAAAAAATTTTACAAATGGCAATTCACCTTGCCTCATTTATCATATGGAATTCATGATTCCTAAACTAAATATAAGCTGTCTAGATTAATAACGCAAAAGAGTAATTTTTAGTCAAAGAAATTGCATGTTAGCATGAAAAGACTTCTGCGACCTCTTTGTTCACTAATAATTTGTCAGAAAAATATACGCTGCACAGAAGGTTAACTACAGATAAGGGCAAGTTACTCATTTGTTATTAAATACTTGACCAGGGAAGCGTCAGACAACCAGCATTTTGCCTGGCTGGGCTGGCCGGGCTGGCCGGTTCCGGTAACGCAGAGAAACTACAAACCTCAGCATGCAATGCTGCAAAAACGCTAAGGAGACCAGGGAACACCGTCACGGTGTACTCTGGGGTTTGTAGTGTCCAACCCCAGCCCGACAGTCACCGCCCTGATACTTACCAGACCCGGCCACCACCATGAGACTGAGAGATTCCCGGGGCACAACGACCCGGGAATGAAGCACGATCCACAGCCGTAGTGCTAGGAGCACTGCAGCCGCTCCTGCCACCGCTGCCAGAATAACGGCGCTCTCCATTCAAAGGAACAACGCATGCGTGCTAGCCCACGGCTCCGGCACTGAGGATCGGTCAAAGTTCAGGAACTACGGGCGCTGAGGAGACTCAAACCTGGCGAGTCCAATGTCTTGCTAGTTTGCGCTGGGCGGGGTTGAGGGCCAGAGGCAGAAGTCCCGCCTCCGAGGCATTTGGATTCCCCAGGACTCCTGCCCAAACGGAAGCTGGAATTCCGGAAGTTAAGCACTGGAGAAGTTACACTAACATCGGCGATGAGGTCAGGTCAGCCGTGCGCCCTAGGGGTCTTAGACCTCCCAAGTTAGTAGATGTTCCAGCGCTATCAGCTTTGTGAATTCCACCTGAGGCCCTTGGCATACATCGCTTTTTTTTTCTTCCTTTGTTTCCCTCCCTCCCTTCCTTCCGAAATGTTCCATTCGCACGTGCTTACAATTATTGAAAGTGTTTGCCAGTAAAAGATACCTTAGTACAAAAAAATTGAATTCAGGGTCCTCATCCTGTCAACAAAAGGATGTAGGCAAATAATAGCGCTTGGATTGCTGTGGAGAGATGTCTGAGGCTTTGTAAACTGGCACAGGCAAAACAAATGTTGGGCATGTTGAAAATTACTCGGCTCCAGGCCCCAGAAGACACTTGCAGCCCCTCGTGCCCTATCCCCTCACTACAGTAACTACTTGTATCTTTAATAAAAATCAGTTTTACCAGACTTGGCTTGCAGCTGGAATGAGTGGAGTGACCAAACATTTAGAGGCTGCCAGTAAATGCAGAGAATCAAAGAGGGTGGAGTAGCAAACGTTTGCAGTTACGGGTGATTAATTTAGATTAAGGCTAGGGTCAAACTGTTGAGTGTTCTGGAAAGGGAAATGAGGACTGTAGGGAGGAGTTAGGTGGCACGCAGGGACAGGAACCAAGTTGGGAACTCTTGAACAAAATAAATGGCTACCGGGTGAGCTGAGTCCTGGGCTCTGTCAGGCATGGAACATATAATCAAGAGATCAAGAACCTGTACAGCATTAATCAGGAAAAGCAAGGAAGGCTGAGCAGGAAGAAGCAACTAAAATTTCTCTTTGGGAGGTAAGTTGTACTGACAATGCAGGTAAACATGCATGGGGGTAAATTATAGTTGTGTGAAAAGCATGAAAAATGTATTAATTGACAAAATGAATAATGGTTTTGAGCCATAACTAATCATAAGTAAAGTTTGGAAAGTGATTTTTATTATCTTTGTAAATCTCCTAAAGTTTCTATGGCAAATATCTATTATTCTTGAATATTTTTTAAGTGTGGATTATTTTGCTCTATTCTGTAGGTTTGTACTTGTTAATTTATTCAACATATTAATAAGCACCTGCTATGTGCTAGATGTAAGTACAGGGGATCTCGTATGAGTAGGACAGTCAACCAGACAAGAACATTAGAGGAGGAGGTGGCAGATTTGAGATGTATTTTATGGATAAAGTCAATAAGATTCATAGATGGATTAGAGACTGGGAATCAAGATGGTTCCTAGATTTTTGGCTTCAAAACTGGTTGGATGGCTTCATTTGCTAAGAATAGACAGGAGGAGAAACAAGCTTTTGTGGATAGAGAAAGGGGAGGAGAGGATGAAAATGATGTGTTCTGTTGCGGATGTTAGTTTGAATAGCCTGTTAGACATCCAAGTGGTTATTGTCAGATAGGGAGTTTCATGTACAAACATGAAGCTTGGGTCAGACCTAGAAGTATAAATTTAGAACTCAGCATGTAGATGATATTTAAAGCCATAGGACTGGGTGAGATCATCTAGAGAGGGAGTTTAGGTCAGTCTTGTCCAATAGAACTTTCTGCACTGATGGAAATGTTTTATGTTCATGTTTTCCACTCTCCACACAGGCCTACAGAGCCCTTGAAACATGGCTAGTGAGACTGAGGAACTGAGTTTTAATTTTATTTAAATTATTTTAAGTTTAGACAGTAGCTAGTGGCTACTGTATTGGACAGCTCAGGAGAGAGAAGAGCCTGGGGTGATTAACATTTAAAGGTCTAGTAAAGGGGACTGAGCCAGCAAAGAAGATGGAGAAGGAAAAGCCAGGGAGATAGGAGGAAAATCAGGAAAGAGTAGTGTCCACAAAAACCAAGAGAGGAAAATGATTCAAGAATGAGAGTGTAGTCAACTATGCCACATGCTGCGGATAGGTTGGATCAGATGACTTGGGAGCAAATATGTCATTGGGGATCTAAACAAAAGCAGAATTTCTGTGGAATGGTGGTCGTGGAAGGCAGATGGAAATGGGCAGAAGAGAGAACAGGAAATGAAGAAAAGCAGTCTCTGCAGACAATCATTTCAGGTTTTTCAAAGGAGAATAGATAAATTGGATGGGAAAAGGAGGAGAATTTTTAAGATAGGAGTCACTAGACATATTTGTCTAATGTTAAAAATGATTCTCAGTAGAGGAAAATTGGAGCAGGAGAGAAGAGGAATAAGAACAGTAACAAATTTCTTCAAAAAATGAAAAGGGTTGGAATCTAGGGCACAAGTGGAGGGATTGGGCTTTGATAGGAGGAGGGACCCTTATTCCATGGTAAGAGGATGAAAGGCAGAGTTATGGATGCAGATCCTGGGAGGTCTGTAGAATTGCTGGTGAATACATGAGTGTGTGGGGACTGTGCATAGAGTATGAGAGGTTCGAGAAGAAAGAAGGTATGAAATAATTCATCTGGTGTATTGGCATATGCACCAGGATCAGCGTAGGATTTCTGAGTAGACTGGAATGCCCATTTGAAGCTCGTGATAAATATAGAGAGAAACCAGTTAGTGGAATGTTATGTCTTTTTCCCCCAGTGGAAAAGGCAGATAATTGGCTTTAATCAGAGTTAGATTTTTTGACAGGGGAATTCGTTAGAGAGAGAAGGTTCCTTTTAAGGGAGTGAGGTCCACGGAATTGCTTCTGGACATAGTGGAAAGTAAAGACAGGAGAGTAGAGGTGGGAGAACTGATGAATAGTGGAAGTGTGTAAGGTCAGTGGATTGAAGGCCTAAAGAAGATTGAAAAATTGCAATGAAAAAACTAGTCACTCAATTATAGAGATAAGTGGTGGTCAGTGAGTAGGATTCTTGAAGTCAATTTTGTGTTATTACTGGTAGTATTTAGGGTGTAACTCTAGGAATGAATGAAGAAAGATCATGATGGAAATGCCCACATGGATGCTGAAGTTATGAAGGGGCGGAAAGGAAAATAATGAGCTCAAGTTTTCAAAGAGTAAGAGGTTGGAAGATGACAGCAGCCACAAAGGGCATTGAGTACAAACTGGGTATCTTCCATTTGTCCCTCAGGTCCATGCTTCTCCACCCCACTTAGTGCCATGGGAATGGAAACCTATGGATTAAATCAACAGGTTTCCTTGCTTTCTGGTTCTGGTTGGGTTTGGCCAAAGGGGACTCTCAGCAGATCTGAGGGATGGAGTCTGTGTTCCTGAACTGCAGGTGTCTGCTCTTCAATGTGGCCTTCTCTACACATCTCTCTCTTTCTGGGTCCCGAGACTCCTGTTCCTTGTTCCTTCAGGCTAGGGGTGGTAACGGTTCTACTGTTACTAGCCCTGAGTTACTACACTATCCCTGTGCCTTTCCTATCTCATCCACCTTTGTTAGTAGTCCCTTTATTAAATCATCCCAAATTTACCTAACATGAGTATGCCATCTCTATCCTGTTGGGGACACTGATACAGGGTGGTACGACTGCATGGCAAGAACTTCAAAGGAGGTGGAGTTTTTGAAAGAACGATAAATGGTTTGGAAGCAGCGGTAGGGATCAAGAGGAATGCCTAACCCACCTCCTCTGGCGGTGAAGAACAAATGGCCTCTATCTGAGAGACATACTGAAGAAGTTTAGGAGAGCAAGACTTCGGCTTGTACAGGGAAGTGGACAAGACATTCAGAAAGAAGTTGAAGATATAGGGGAAGTTTACAGGTTATAGATCAGAAAGTCCAAAGGGTAGAGTGAAAAGGTTTGAAGGGTGGTAGGGAATGGGAGTTGGGTCAGATTAAGGAGGTTTGTAAGTAACTGGAGATAAGAATCAGGATGATAATGGCTGATCTATAAGATTTCTGGGGATTGACTAGGGATGAGGGCAGGCTCTCAATTCATTTCAGTTCCGTTCTACTAGTACTTACTATGCGTTGTCCCGGGCTAGGCACTGGGGTACACTGGTAGGACAGTAACATTCAACACCCAACCAGTGACTTAACAATGAGCCTGACTGTGTGAACCACATACCTTTTGACAGAGTCTCCTAGAGAAAACACCCACTTTCGTGGGCTGCCTGGGAGTGTGGGCTGCTAGGGATCCTGTCAGCTAGGCCCCTTCACACCAGAATTCAACACTCTTCAGTCCTAGTAAGGACAGTGAAGTATGCATAAAGAAGACTGAAGCTTTTCTGTAAGAGCCTGGGAGGCTACTTTGGTCGGCATTATGTCCATTCATGACAAGGTAAGATAAAGCCAGAGGGAGTTCTTAGTCTGGGCCAGAGACAGAACTGTGGGCACCAGGATTGCTGGTTGTATGCCTTACCATTTAAGATCTGGAAGGTTGGGTTGGATGGGTTGTCCCAGTACAACCCAAATAATCTTGTAGGCAGGACTTTTTTTTCCTTGTCAAATATATTAATACATGTTTAAGTCACAATCTTTTCCTGAATGAAGCCAGCTCCTAGGACTCCTTGAATGCTAACCCTTGAAGTCTAAGGCAATGAACACTTAATTGGTGCTTTACTGTGTGCTTACTACATGCCAAGTACTCAGAACATGAATTAACTAATTTAATTCTCACAACAATCCTATGGGGTAGACATTTTAATGACACCCATTTTACAAACGAAGACATTAAAGCACAGAGTGCTCACACCACATCATACACTCTAGGTCACAAAGCCAAGAAACGGTAGTCAGAATTCAAAAAAGCTGACTTTTCTACAGTATCATTAAAAATATTTATTGTATATTTGTACCAGCTACTGTGCTATATATTAAAAATAGCATGATAGAAATATATTATTTACTGTGCCTGAAACTTCATTTATAAAATTAGAACTAAATAAGGGGAAGGGGATTTTGAAAAAGTGGCTTTTTCACATGCCAATCAAGAACTGCTTTTCTGTTTTGTAGCTTTTTCTCCAAGTAAATTCAAAAAGGATACCAGATTAGATAGATAAGCAGACATATGTATGTGTGTGTTTCTCTGTATATACATATATTCCACTCTTGATTCAATCCTTGTTTAAGATGAATTTACAGTGAAATTACTAGACAGCCATTTTATTCTCACTTTATGTCCATTTATCTCAAGTATGCTTTTTCTAGACATGTTTATAAATCCTTTGCCCTATGCACCCAAAATGCCTTATCAGTTTCAAATATAACAGGATATTAAAATCTTGTTTAAAAATACAACTCCAGGTTACCATGGTATCATACCACATTATACTGTTTATTAATGACAACCACAAAAATACTAGCTCCTTTAATTTTCAAAGTTACTATTTCTTCAGTTTTAGACTTGTAAATCAACTAAGAGACAATTCTAATTTTTGCACTAAACACTGCTTGTCTTTAAAATCTTTAGGCTTAATTTTCTCCCCTCCCTCCCTCTCTCCCTTCCCCCAGAGGCTCTGCCTAACACCTCCCTCAAATTTGGCTTTTCTTCTTCATTGTACATCTGCCCCCCTTTTTTCTATATCTCTCAAATTCTTTTATGCTGCCGCAGAGCTTTTTGTTCTTGATAGAAACACACAAATTGTGTTTTCACTCTTATCTGACTCTTATTTGTCCTTTTTGTGAAGAAAACACATGGCAAACCTCCTGTAACATTCATATCCATAATAATACATGCCGTCTACCATTTAGTAGGTATTTATGTGCTTCCTCAACTACCTCTCATAACTGTGCTATAAACTAGAGTACTATTATTATCTCCATTTCGTAGGTAAGGAAATGGAGGCTTTACCATGCTAAATCAACACTGCTGGTGCTTTGATCAGACTTCGGTGGATGTACTGTGGCCATCTAGTGGCTTCAGGGATATTACTTAGGGAACATAATGC